TATTCTCATCTCTAACTTCCCCCATGCTTAAAGTTGTTTATGTCTTCTTTTCATACTTTGCCATGCTTGCCAATTTACTTAGAAGGATTTATCCCATGTAGCCCTCTTTTCCTTCATACCCATGTACTTTCATGCATCTGAGAGTTAACGAGGTACACTTTTGTATATTTTTCCTGAAGAATACTCGACATGAGCAGTGATACAAACCCTTTTGGATAAAAGACCTGCTGCCCAGCAAAGTGTTCATCTTGCCAGATGTGATCCAGCTCACTTTGATGCACATCTTGTGTTTTTCGGGAGAGATAGTGGTGTTAATCTTGATTAAATGATTGGTCAATGTTACATACTTGTAATCGTATAGAACAGTGTGAGCATTCAAATTAGTTGCCCAAACGCTGATCACAAATAACTTTCAATTTATTTCAATGGGTCCTCAGTATCATTTTCCTCTCCTATATGCATATTCAATCTAATGGTTATCTACCTCATATGATCACATAATGTGATTAAGGACTGGTAGTTGAATTTATCTCCTTTTTTCTGCATCTCTTAATTTTGGCTCTGTAGTGCGCAATGTTATTTTCAACTTACCTCAATTTTGCATTCTGAATTTTACATTACTTGAAAACGAATGGTCTTTCATCTTTATTTTCTTCTTTTTATCTCAGCTGGTCTTTCGGTATCCTGCTTTGGGAGATATTTAGCCTTGGCGCCAGTCCCTATCCTTGGCTGATGGCGGACAATATGCTCTCTTCACTTAAATGCGGTTGTCGTAACACCAAACCCGAATTAGCATCTGATCGGCTTTACCAGATAATGCTTGACTGTTGGGCCGAGCTGCCTGAGGATAGGCCGATTTTTGCTGATCTCTTGACACGGCTGGCTCTCGAAAAGGATGCTGAAGCCGCCGAGGGGACCGCTAAGCAGACAGAGCATGGGGGGCAGGAGAGGAATGTACTTTATGACCATGGGGATACTAAAACGGAAAATGCTATGAGAATGAATGGCTATGAGGAAGCGCATCCTGGTGACTCAAAAGTTGCGCAACTTATAGTTAACAAGATTCTGGATGGCGGATGTAGTCAGTCTGCCAGTCAGGAGTTAGACATCTGTCTCTATGTTAATGAGGTCAAATCTGCTAGCGAGTCAGTTATTGCCAGTCTTCCTGTTCTTCCTTCCCAGCATGCCGCAACACATTCTTGTACAGACGCCAAACCGGAAAGTGAGCCTCTTAGTGATTTTCGGTTGACACATAGTGCTTGTGATGACCA